AAATTCTAATGGGCAAAGACAAAACGGCAATGGGGGAAATAATTTGCGACGTCAGGTTGGTCAATTGACAGACCAAATGGGCAAATTAATGGAGGAAATGACAAAGATTAACCAAGTCTTTGCCAGAAATCCTTTTTTAGGGATAGCTCCAATTGCAGAGCCACCAGTGCAACTGCAGCAGCAACAACAGGTGCCACAGCAATAATAGCCACTGTGACTAAACAGGCTAGGTTGTCAGTAGATGTAATACCTAACCCTGTTTCCTTTCCAGGTACTAATAGTCAAACAAACAATAGTTGCGTTAGGAAACCTATTGCCTACCCCGTCACTTCACTTCCGGGTGAAGGAGGCGCAACTTGTTCCTCTGTTTTTTCATTTCAGCCAAAGGCTACAATAGCCCCAGCAACCACTAGTTTCTTGGATCCAGACCTGAAAGGGTTAACTGATGAGATGCCGACCACTAGTTCCCGCTTGACAGTTCAAGATATTACTAAGAAGGATGGGCCTGTGGGTAAGACTGAACATTCCTCAGTACAGGTAGAAACTACTGCTGTAACAGGTAACGTATGGAAAACGAGTGATATGTTGACACATTCTAACTTCTTATGTGAATTAGAAGAACATGAAGGAAGGTACTACATGTCTGTAGAAATACAGGATTCGTTACCCCAGCCTTTCAAAGGGTTAATAGATACTGGTTCACAAGCCACTTTCTTATCGAATACCTACTTCCAGCAGGTAATGGACTTAACAGCGGATAAGCCAAAGCTAAGAGATTTCCCCAATGCTCTGTTGAGTGTAGGAGGAAATGCCCTTCATGTTATTGGCAATACCTGGTTAAAGTTTAAAATAGGTAACAAAACCTTTAGACACCCGGTGATAGTGGCAGATCTCCCCTATGACCGACTGATTCTGGGTATAGACATACTTAGAAGACTTAACACAATTATTGACTGTGTAAATGGAATTGTATGGTCACAAGCTAAGGTTCCTATAACTTATGAGAAATCACATGTTCAATCTGATCATAATTGCCATGTGATAGAAGAAAGACCTGACTCGATTGAGGTACATTTTAGGAATAGTCAGTCACCTGACGTGACTATCCTGCAGGTGAATGATGCAATTGCACCTGTAGATGAGCATTCCGTAAGAGTTGCTCCAGAGAGGATCCAGAATGTCTCTCTGGAAGGTGATGTTTTAACCATTCCTCTCCACAGGGACTATGTTGAATCTGTAGACCTGCCAGGTCATGCTCAATTCCTTGCCAGAATTGAAAGGGTTAATAACAACTTATTCTTTCCTATGCAAATAAATGACTTAGGAAGAAGTAGGAATGCAAAGCTGGACTTAAAGAGTGAGAACAGCTATATTAGCAGAAGTCTGTTAAAGCAGATCGCTAATCCTAAAATGATCAGGTACGCTTCCCCACATGACAGGTGGATCCAGAACCTGGATGGTGAATCAGAGAGTCACAATGTGATAGCAAAATGTTTACTATCTATTTCCATGGAAATAAGACAGTTAAACATTTATTCCTAGTGATAAACGAACCTCGCTATCAGGTTTACATCGGCAATGATGTCATACATCGCTTTGCCATACACCTTGACCTGATTAATTCCAACTTGTGGACAAAGTTAAAAGGTAATCCTTGTGGATACCTACACGAGTAAAACGCCCTGAAATCAGGACAAATACTCCCATATGCGGTAAGTATCCAAGTTCCTGATGACATAACCATTCCACAGGGGACAAGTAAGTTTCTTTTACCCCTACAGGTCAAGAAGGGTCAGAGATTGGAAAACTCTGATGCCCTAATCTGTTTATCCAACAGGATACAACAATTAGGGATCGTGGTAACACATACACCAATGGTAAGTATTGGTAAGAATCCCACCTATATAATGGTCAACAATGTTACACCGAATAGTGTTACTTTACCAAAAGGAACATTATTAGGTCTAGCATTGGATGCTGAGTGCTATACATTTGGTTTCCAAAACCAAATTATAGGCCTCATCCCTGAAGAATACTTAACTGAGGACGAAATTGTCGATCAAATATTCCATTCCTCCCCAGAAGGATTATTCGCTATCCTATCTGTGTATCCCTTCAACGTCGAAGAAGGCTCGTGTAAAATCGAAGAAGCATCAATCACCTTTGATCATCCGCTCAATGAGCAGGAATCACGAGAGTATCACGACCAAAGAGAAAAGGTAAGTCAACACCGAACTGACCTAACTTCTAGGCTTGAAGAAGCTTATGAGATAGGCCAGCCTGAAATCTTTCCAGGGTTTCAGGAAAGGCTAGAAGAGCAAATATCTTTAGCTGACAGTTGCTCCAACGATGCTGAGCGGCATCAGCTAAAGGATATCCTAATGGAATTCCAAGATCTTTTTACCGAAGATTCCTACGACTGTTGGTTAACTAACCTCCACGTAGCCAGAATACAAACTGATCCAAATTTACCACCTGTATTTATCAAACAATATAGACTCCCATTAGCGTCATATGATGGTTTACAAGACATCATTCTGAATTTAAAGGAAAGGGGCATTATACGTCCAGTGCACAGTTCGTATAATAATCCGATATTGGGGATTCTGAAACCTAATGGACAGTGGCATTTATGCGCTGACTTACGACAGCTAAATAAACGCATCTATATGTCTGGTTGGCCAGTGCCATACATAGACCAATGTTTGGTACAAATGCAGGGATCCAAAATATTCACCGCCATTGACTGTGCGCAGGGATATTGGACTGTACCAGTCCATGATGAAGACCAATACAATTTGGCCTTCACATTTGGAAAGCAGCAGTGTGGCAAACCTAGCCACTTGGACAATACAAAGAGACTGTGCCTTTAAGGGTTGCCGATATGTCTAAAGAGATATGTGCTTCATTTCCCTGTGTATGCTGTATGTATGTTTTGTATTTCCTTTTGCCGAATGCAAATGGCGGTTTTGTATGGGGGTTTTCTTTCGTTTCACGAACGGCACTTTGGAGAGCCGTTCGTGAACCGAACGCGATACCCCCTAATAGCCCACACACTTAGAGGCGTGTGACGCTAGTTAACCGATTGCAACAATGTTGCAATCGGTTATCAGAAGCTCTCCTGGGTGGCCATCGTTCGACTACCGACCATGCGGCGGTCGGCCATCTTGGATTCCTTGTTCCCTCAGCGGTGCTAGGTCGTCGAACGCACAGCATTACAAATAGTCATTCGACGGCACGAACACCGCTGAGCCTCCCGGACGTTCGGGAGTTTCAGGATCTTGTTCACCAAAAGCAATCGGTCCTTTTTGTATGTTTTAAAAGAAATGTGTTTTTCGTGCGGCGTTCGGTTATTTTAGCTGGGATCTGAGCGGTAATCTCACGAATGATGCGCTCAGACCCCAGCTATCTACCGAACGTCCATTCGTGTAAATCCACCATGTATTTAACAAGTTGTGTATTTTTGTTTAAATTGTCGGTTCTGCTGCACGAGGGGATAATCCACTTAACGGTGCATTCTGGGAAGATGATCCCTCTCGTGCAGCAGTGCCTGATGGGAGAAATATGCTGTACTGTAAGTTCCCCATGTAGTCCCCTCTGGGAATGCCCCTGGGAAGGGACTTAGGAAACCCCTTGCATGGGGACTTGTATAAATTGTCCAGCCGATTAAAAGGATTTCAGTTGACTCTCAGAACTGTGTCTCGTCCGGTTACTGGGAGGTTGGGGATATTGCCTTGTTGTTTCAGCGCTTGACTGTGGATTCGTTTCCGAACCAGCGGAATTCGTGGATTATTTATTGGCGTTCCGCTACAAGCAGTATACATGGACCCATATGCCCTTCGGTTACATAAACTCTGGTCATGAATTCGCTGTGTTCATGCATAAAGCTATGCCTGACGCACTCGAGAGAGGAACGTTATCATATGTCGACGATGTCTTGCTGAAAAGCACATCCTTTGATAAGCATATCATAGAGATTAGACATGTTCTCACTCAGTTAAGAGAGGCAGGGATAAAACTCTCTTTACAAAAGGTGCAATGGTGTCGCACCCATGTCAACTTCCTCGGACATGAGGTAACTTCTGAAGGATTAAATCCCCAGAGGAAGAAGGTTGAAGCTGTAATTAAGGCTAAAACACCTTCAAACATCAGGGAATTAAGATCGTTCCTTGGTATGACTAACTACTCCCGTAAGTTTATAGATAACTATGCAGAAATAACGAAACCACTCTTACACCTGCTTAAAAAGGAAACTACCTGGAACTGGGGGGAGCCTCAGGACCAAGCGGTAAGTGAACTGAGGAGGAAGCTCACTCAGGCACCCTATTTAGCATACCCAGAGGAGGGTAAACCCTTCTATCTGGAGACAGGATATACCGATTTAAGCATAAGTGCTGTTCTGTATCAGAAGCAGGACAGTTTAAACAAAGTTATTGCATATGCTAGCAAGACTTTGTCACCTGTTGAAGTAAAATTCAACACGTGTGAGAAGGCGTTATTGTCGACTGTCTGGGCACTACAAAATTTTCGTAGCTATATCCAAGGTGAGAAAATAATTGTAGAAACAGCTCACCAACCTCTACAGTATCTGCAGAGTGAAAGAGACGGTAATCTCTCTAACAGTCGGATTACTGCATGGACTCTATCCATACAGGGATAGCCTTTAGAAGCCTGTTATAAACATAATAAGAGAAGCCCAGATGCCCAAGGTTTAGCAGAATTACATGACTGTACTGCTCCATTTCTGGATGATAATAACACTGGAGATGACTTCCTAGAAAAGCAATTGCTATCCCCTTATAAAGTTTATGACGAGGAATACTGTCGACCACTACCGTGGGTATACATTGAAGGTTGTTCATATCACCACGCTGCTGGTGCTGAATGGAAGTTAGTTGCAGGTATTGGAATCGCCTGGACAGGTGATTATCCCAATGTATCTATAGGATACAATATTGGTTCCAAAAGCAGTCAGATAGCCAAACTCTGTGCAGTATATAAGACCATTCAAATGGCAAGAGAATATGGTATCAAAGAATTTGTTATCATAACTGATTCCAACTATGTTCGCAACAGTTTTGTTGAATATCTGCCTAGCTGGAAACGTAACCAAATGCTGAAAAGCAATAACAAACCTGTTAAACATGGGAAATTGTTTTGTAAAATCGATGAGTTGGTTAAGGAAAATGGTTTAACCATATATTGGAAGAAAACCAAAGGCCATTCTAAAGTAGAAGGTATTGACAAGGATGGTAATGACTTAGCCGATTCACTGGCAAAACAAGCAGCCATCAATGGTGAAACCCTAAACATTGATGATCCTATGGGTTCAATCCATGTTGAAGCCATAACTAGACGACAGGCTAGAGATAATGTCGACTTAAACATCGTGCAATGGAGTCAAGAAGCTCCTAGTGAGGACCTGATTACCAGTCAAAAGAACGATCCCGTCATAGGCATATTCTATAGACATATAAAAGACCCTACTGCCAATCCCATCACAGATGAGGATTGCAAACATAATGAAGATTTACGAATCTTGATGAGATATAAAGTCCAATTTAGTATCATGGATGGGTTGCTGGTCAGAACTTCTAAACATGGTATACAACAATGGGTAGTTCCAACTGTATACAGAGGGTTAATGCTCAAACACGCACATGATGCACCTACATCTGGGCATCGTGGTGATAAGATCACATATGAGATATTGCGTGATTATGTATATTGGCCACACATGTTAAGAGATGTTAAGACATACTGTCAGGGATGCTTGATTTGTCCGCAATATCAACCCCATGGTCGAACCCATCATGCACCACTTCAGAAGAGGGAGGTGTCATTACCCTGGTCCGATATCAAATTGACTTTATAGGTCCCGTAACAAGATCTTCAAGAGGTAGCAAATACATGTTAACCATTACATGTATGTACACAAAGTGGATAGAGTGTTTGCCTTGTAAAGAGAACACGAGTACCGTGTGCGCCACTTTGTTGATTAACCATGTCTTTTCCAGGTTCAGTCTGCCTCAAAGAATTGAGTCAGATAGAGGTGGTCACTTTACCAGCGAAGTAATGGCTAAGATGTGGAAAATTCTAGGTGTTAAACGAACGCTACATATTGCATACCGCGCTGCGTCTAGCTGGGGGGTAGAGCGATATAACCAGTCTATCGTTAATATTCTGAAGAAATATGTTAAGGAGTCTGGTAAAGACTGGGACATTAAATTGCTCCTAGTTTTAATGGCGATTAGAGCTACACCTAGCACTGCTACCTAATTGTCACCTTTTGAATTGATGACAGGAAGAAAGATTGTTTTACCACAGCATTTACTATATCGTACTTCGGATCATAACTTGATCAATGCTTCCACTACGCATCAGTATATCGAAGATTTGCGCAAGCATTTACAGCATGCGTTTGCTTTTGCCCAAAAGAATCTAGAAAAAGCAGCGACAGGGGTTAAGACCTATTACGATTTAAAAACCACAAAAAAGGAAAATGAGATCACAGATCATGTCTATCTGTATAACTTTGCGCGAAATCAAGTTAAGGAAAATAAATTTTTACCTTCTTGGAAAGGGCCATGTCATCATTGACAAAATTTCCCCTGTAGCGTATAAGATAAAAATTCCTAAGGATGGTGATTTTATTGTAAGTGGGTTCACATTAACCAGTTGTGTGCTTGTCATCCTAAATCTCAATTAAGGATTATAGGTGTGGATTCGGACGCAGAAGGGTGAACGACTAACCTGGATGAATGCTTGATTCACGTGGTATCGTATGATGTGAAGTGTTGTGATGTGCCATGATCTCATGTACGTTCATGTCATTAACCATTTCCTTGCCATCCAATAACTACATTTTCTAAGCAGGTTACTAGCTTGTTTTACTGCTATAGGCAAATTACTGAAGAGTCAGTAATAAGTGTAGTGAGGGATGAAGTTATAAAAATAGAATTAGAGAGAATACATATGTTGATGTATCGTAATAATGTGTTGTCCTAGGCCAAGTGATGTCACACTGTTATAAGTTTGTATGCTTAACAAACCTTGAATCATTAGTAGATAAGTCTGAAACGAGTTCCTGATCCGTGACTGTCAAAAGATGTCCAAGAAGGATGTGGCGTGTTTCTGGATCGTACTGCTCCTGTGCCAAGAGCTACAGACCGACCCGATTGCAGAGATGGGACCATCCTCCGGAATCCTGATTCAAGAAACACCTGGGTTCATCTTGACAGAGAAGAGGATCCTGACCCGCCGTGTGTTCGTCAGCTTGGACCCCAAGATTTCCATTGAGAAGGCATACAACATTTCATCGATGCAGCTTCCTGAGTTACAGACTTGGTACCAGATGCACCTCCAAAGAGCACAGGACCGTGTGCGAAACATCTTGGAGCAAGCCCGGAAACCATTTGTATCCAGTACTATTTCGATGAGCAACCGACCCAAAAGGTTCCTCACCGCCATAATTGTTGCATTAGTTTGTGCCACTGTCGGTGCAGTTGTAGCAACTGGAATGTCTGCAGCCAACTCTATTACTGTCCAAAAGCTGGATATGGAAATCTATGCGCTAAAGCAACACATTAACAATATTCATCAGGTGATAAACCAGCAAAGAACACTTCTCCAAGACGTGTTAACTATTGTGGAAGACACAGTTGTTACAACAAATTTGCATTCGGAGTTAATTGCCAAATCCACTGAGTTGCACCAAAGTCATGACTTATTTAAGCGTGAACTTCTATTTCTGCATGACCCAATATTGTTCCACACACTTGCTTTTCTTGACGAAGTGCAAACTGGAATGATCGAATTGGCAGGGGGACGCATACCTCTGTATTTTGTATCCAAGGATATTGTTCATGCGATGCTTGCCAATGTGGATGGAGAAACAATTGAGCCTATGCAATTAAATCTGGCCTTTGAGATGGGGAGCGCTATACCTCTCTTAATTGATCCAGAACGTATGGAGATTTGCTTTTTATTGGCCATACCCTATGTAACTCCCAAAAACATTTTTCAAATGAAAACAATTTACAATGATAATAATAATATTATGGTTGATTGTACTAAGTGTAAAGTTCAAAGCTCTTACAGGTACAAAAATATACAAAAATGTTCATTCCACGCACGGGCCTATGTCAGTAGAAATGATGTGAGTGCACAATATGTCTGGTAACTTCTATAGTGCCTATTCATAGGCCAAATTATTCATTGCTATGAAAGTCACTAAGGGGGGTTATGTCAGGATATTTATATCGGCAGACATTTTGTGCTAAGAAAGAAATTAAAAGTGTATATTGCCAGAGTCACTCAGAACAGAGCGGACTCCATTTGGCTATCTTCAGGATAACAAAGACACATAATTTCCTTGATTTCACTAACCACTGAGCCTGATCTAAGTAATGCATTATATAAACACAGACACTAGTGACAGAGAAGACTAAGTAATTAATTTTACTTTCTAAATTCTACAAGGTCCCATTGTAAGTAAGGGGTGAAATTGAGTTTAGAACTGTCAATTTTACAAATTACGATCAAAGTAGTTGCCACAAAGACTGAGACAAATGCTTTGAACTGACAGCAAATTTAAGTTATGGTAGTCATTTTAGATAAGCCAAATTACGTCAAAATCGTCATCAGGAAAAGTTAACTCTTTCCTGGATAAGAAGGTTTAGTTAGGCAAGAGTGCCCTCTATGGACCAAATACCTAAATTGCGATCCATCGATTGAACCCACCTTCAGCTTCCTATTGGCCGTATAAACTAATGACGTACAGAGAGTCTGGCCCTTTTAAAAGTTAGGACAAAGGGAAGAGAGAAGTTAGTTGGTAGAGAGACGAGTTGGAGTTTGGGCAATCAGATTCGGACATGCAGAGAGAGAGAGACTCAAGAAACACTCTCTGGGACTAACACTCTACTCTTAAACTCTCTTGGACACAACTCCTTGACACTTAGAATTTTACTCTGACTTTCTAACCAACACCACTTTTCTCTATTACTCACGCACCTCCATACAACCAATCCAGTTCCTAGGACTACCTACTCATCTGATGAGAATATCTACATAACTGGTCATTATGCTGGTTTTATTTAATTAATTTAAATTAATTAAAATTTACTAATAGCATGATATATGACTGGATAAATCACGGTCAGATTTAATATTTTGAAATCTTAGTTAACTAAAGAATATATAGTTATAAACATTCCATTCTGCAGGTGGAATTAAGAATAATTATATATTAATGTGATGGTATCACGTGTTAGCATACCGCTGTTTTTATCCAGGTGTATTGATTTGCTCTAAAATAAGATAAGATATCTTTTTAGGCAAATTAAAATTCGGCTTTTGTAAAAATCTGGTAGATTATTCTTATTGGATGGTTCCAGGAAATGATTAATGAGCTGGTTTGAATGTTATTTTAATTGAAAATTACATGAGAATAGGATACTATATGCCTAGGAGGATCTAGCCAGCATTGAAAGGGTTACTCAGTTGATTTAACTGTTAGCCAAGGTTTTATGGCTTTTCGCTGTGTGAAGCTTTACTTTTGTCTGTAAAGATACCCTCATAAATCTTATTAAGTGACAGAAGATGCTGTTAGCCATTGGAACGTGTATAGCCATTCCATTGTATTGCATACTTATGTTATACTAAATATTCACTGATTATTATCATGCATGCTGCCTAATATTATTGTTAATTAATTGTTACAATAAATTAAATCTATTTTTATAACAGATTGTGATTTTATTTGTATGGAATACATTTCACTTACATGATAAACGATCTCTAAGATCTAAGAGAATTGAAATAGTGGGCAGTTCTCGACTGTTTAATATTATCATCCCATAAATATCCCTACAGGGCGCTGAACACCGCTGGCCGTTCGGGAGGTAAAATGGCCACTGCCACGTGTTCGGCAACCAAACAAAGGCCACCCAGCATTCATCAATTAAGCTGCGGTTAACTGCAGCTTCTGGGCGGTCAATTGACGGCCCACTCCAGTTCCCAGGTGGTCCATCGTTCTGTAGTTTGTTCGGTAGATTGAATCTACAAAACACCCCGGCAGAAAGGCACAAAGAAACCTTTCAGCAGGGAAAATAACAGGTCTGAACTGCAGGGCCATAGTCTAAAGGGAGCAGGCGAGCAACCAGGCTTCTCCAGTGCATAGTGGCGAGGTTGGTTCCGCCACAATGCCTGCAGAGAAACAACCTCCTAAACAATCAACATAAAGCTAAATCTTGTCTAACAGTAGAACATAGAAAGAACCAGGCTATCTTACCTTCCAAGACACTGATGTTCTGTATCCCTCAATTGTCTAGTCTAAGTGTCTAGAAGAATCCTGATTGGAAGTATAGTTGTTTTGTTGCTCCTTTCGTCCCCTCTATTGGTCAGTTGTCACATGATCTGTGAAGAAAATCAAACTAAATACATACCTAACCCTATGGTCACATAATCCTAACACTAGATCCCTCCTAACCATAAACTACATTAACGCTAGCCCTAGCAGAGTGAATTAAAATACCAACACTTTTAATAGCTGTGTAATTAGGCTATGCTCTAACGCAGTGCTCAAACAATTATTAAAAAATTGCCATTTTCACTGCAACATTTTTAAAGCATCCCATACAAAAGCTAGAACTTCACTGTCACAGCACTCTGGCCTACTGCTATATTATTCCCAACTACCCTAATGATTTGTTATAAATCATAGAAATCGATATTACATATATTCTAAATACAAACCCCAGCCTACTATCTGCAACCTATCCATACAATCAATTATAAAATGCACCATCACTTATAAAATTACATTTCCATTACAATCACTGGGGACATACACCTGGTTCCTTTTTTCCATTCCAAAGAGACATCTGATTGCACCCTTTGCATGGAGTTGGTGAAGCAGACTACACATTTTTAGACTTAATAAGGCTTGTACTCTGTATTAAAAGGACACTCCAGGCACCCAGACCACTTCTGCCCATTGGAGAGGTCTGGGTGCAAACTCCCACTACCCTTAACCCTGCAACTGTAAATATTGCAGTTTTCATAAAGGTGCTTCCTGGGCAGTGCTGCACATTGGCTGGTCAATGCTTATTAGCCAGTCGCCAAATTTAAAAATGTAAAAATATAATAAAAACCCTAGGGGAGTCGCTATGACTTTAATATTAATATAGGGGAGTCTGTATACCTCTCTTATACATCCACCTGCCAGGTGGCTGATGAGCTTTAGATGGGGGATATCTCCACTCCTCTTGTATAATTCTCAATAGTGCCCCCTATTGCTTTCCATATAAAACAATAGGGGGCAATTGCTGAGACAAGGATACACACAATTAAAATTTTTCAAGAAATATATTCCAGTTTGTGCCTATATACTTTGCCATGAATCTACAACCAAACCTTCACTACAGTAAATAGCAATTTTAGTAAAAAAAAAAAATTGACCATTCATTCAGTCAAAAAATAATATTGGTAGCTTGTTGACTGTATTTGGGCAAGCATGTTAATTCCCCAACTTGGGAAGAAACAGTGAATGCAATCCAATAAATGGTGATATACAGGTGATACTCAAAAAATTAGAATATCGTGCAAAAGTTCATTTATTTCAGTAATGCAACGTATAAGGGGAAACTAATATATGAGATCGACGCATTACATGCAAAGCAAGATAGTTCAAGCCGTGATTTGTCATGAGTGCAATGATTATGGCTTACAGCTCATGAAAACCCCAAATCCACAATCTCAGTAAATTTGAATATTTACACACTTTTTTTTACTACTCTTCACATGCTCTTACTTAAGAGGGATGTAGGGGAACAAAACTGGTGTGGACTGGCTGACAAATGCTCTTGCTACTTCAGTCTCTCTAACACTGTGGCATGTTCTTCTACACTCACTACATACACTTTTTCTCTGTCCCAGACTGTATAGCAGGAGCTTCTGCTTAGGAGAGGAGTGGACCAGTGAGTGCTAGGGGACTTGCCCTTGGTTGTTCATCCTGCATGACTGTCAGACAGCCTGACATGCATTCATGCCAGGCCGGCCATCTAATTCTTTGTGCAGACAAGCTCCTTTTTGGGCATGTTTTTGTGTGTATGCGTATCTGGGTCAGTATGGGTGTGTCAGTATGTATGTGTCAGTATGTATGTGTATTTATGTCAGTATATATGTGTGTATATGTGTGTCAGTGTGTATGAGTATGTATGTCAGTATATTTGTGTTTTTTTGTGTGTAGTGTGTATGTGTATGTGTATGTGTATCTGTGTCAGTATGTTCGTTAGGCAGTTTGCATGTATATGTCCATACATCCCTGGATTCAAACACCAACACAATACACAAATACACCCCTGCATTCAAACACCAACACTATATACAAACACACCACTGCATTCAAATAGCAACAGTACATACAAATGCAATACTACTTTTACACACACATACTTCACATAAAAACAGTGTATGAGGTTTGATTCTCTTTTATACATAAGATGTGTATAAATGGGTTTGGCATTACAAGAGTTAAAGACCAATCTTGCTAATGTGTTGCTAATTGTCATTATTGAAGAAGCCTAAGGGTTTTCTTTTTGTCCATTTTCACAGTTATTGCTGTTGCTTGATGTGAATGACAAATGAAGCAAAAAGCCATCAATATTATTGTACAGGTTACATTATGAATTTCACAGACTTCTTACTGTATTTAGATTTATCTGTGACTAACAGTAAATGACAAAAAAATTATAGAAAACTAATTTAAATGAATTCATTAAATAATAGAAGTTGTCTTATCCTCCAGGCAAACGACTCTTCTGCTTTTCTCAATTCTTTTGTTCTATCACTCCTGTTAAGGTAATCAATAAGTAAGGTAATTATTTTTTTGTCTATCCCCCTTGTTTTATGCAGCAGTCATGAGGAGCTGAAACAAAGGTAAAAAAGTGTTTTAGGCCCTGCATGTGAGTGAGAATATTCGTCATGCTTTTGCACTGGTATTCACAGTAGAGTTTTATTTTACGAGAAGTGCAAGAATAACCATTGGTCTCTAGTTCAGAAACTTGGGCAATGACAAAGGAAATTCAAAATCAGGACAAACTTGAATGCAAAGATCAAAATAAACCATTCAAACAAATTCTTGTAAACATTGACTGTTTATTGAAAATTCATTATAGGACAGCGAAACATGGAAAAGAGAACAAAATCAATAAATTCAGCCAAGCCTTTTCTAAAATCTCAACCAAGAGTTTTTATTAATAAACAAGCAGCTTACCTATAGCAAAGTAACCTAGAGGCGTGTAAGATCATATGTGCATCACATGTTCGACGACTACTTTTAGTTCAGGTTGTGGTCTGAGTGAGCCATGACTGCCAGCAAAAGTGTGTTTTTGGTACTTGAGTTAATAAACAGAATTTCTGTTATGTACAAAGGTAAAAATGGGGAATATATGGAGGGAAATTGGTGACGCATGGGTAGGAGTGGGAGAGTTTGTGCTTCTGAGTAGGGAGAGTGAGACTAGTTAATAAATAGGGATGGTAATGGCCAGGTCCTGTTCTAATCGCGACTTACCTCGCATGCCCACAGTGTGTCTGTTCTCTCTGCCAGCGTCTGTTTTTTCTTCCAGCTGAATCGTAGGACTCAGTCGCACCTCTTGCCTTTGGGTGTCCCTCTGATGGCTGGGAGCGTTCAGCATTTGGCAGGGTACTGTGGTTTACGATCAATTTGGCATGGTAAACATCATATTTTAAGGGTGGCTGTTCAAACAATCACAGTGTTCCTTATGTTAATTTAAAAGAGGAAAATGGTGTGACATGCATTGGAGTGTGCGGTTGACATGAATGTGGAGGTGTGCTCAGTGCCAGTGCAAGGATTCCTGCCACCCTAGGCAAAGATCGCATTTTGCCGCCGCCTCATGGGACACTAGGGACACTATAGTCACCAGAACAACTACAGCTTAATGTAGTTGTTATGGTGAGTATAATAGTTCCCTTCAGGCTTTTTTTTATGCAAACACTGCCTTTTCAGAGGCCTTAGATGGCCACTGGAGGTGCTTCCTGGGTCAGTGCTGTCGACAAAAGCAGCCCTGATGTTCAGCCACCCCACGCTCTGCATGGAGATGCTGATTGGTTCAATGCATCTCTATGAGGAGGTCCTGATTGGCCAAAACGGCATGTGGCCTCGACCTGTGCCGATTTTAGCCAATCCAATGCTTTCCCTATCGGCCATTTTGATGATTTCACAAAGAGGGCAGAGCCAACACTGGCGGACAAACGTGACGCTGGAAATAAGGTGAGTTTTAAACTTTTACAGGAGTGTTAAGGGGGGGCAAGCCACCTAAATGGTGGGTTAAACACTATAGGGTCAGGAATACATGTTTGTGTTCCTGACCCGATAGTGTTCCTTTAAGCAAGAACAAAACTAACAGTAGCCAAGTTGGATAATTCTTTTAAATCAGCTATTTTAGCCTATATTTGCAATTTGGTTTCCAATTATGTCTAATCAGCTTTACCTTTCCTCCACAGCACTTATTTCTACTCTAACATAATCTTACTGAAGTATACACACACACACTAACACACACACAATGTCACAAACACTCACCAACACACATTCTTACTGACATAAACACACAATGTCACAAACACTCTTACTAACACATACTCTTACTGAAGTATGTGCACATTGCCACACACACGTCACAAACACTCAGTAACAGACACTCTTACTGAAGTATACACACAATGTCACTCACTCTCTCTCACTAACACACTATTACTGACATATATACACAATGTTACACACACACACACACACACATACACACTATTACTGAAGTTAACACACAATGTCACTCACTCTCAATAACACACTCTAAGTATTCGCCTGGGTGGCCTGCAATTCCTATAGACGACCACAAGGTGGCGGTTATCTTGTTCACATGGACCAAAACAGTGAATAGACTTCAGGGGGACTTAGTCGCGAATTCCCTGAAACTATTTTCGGCATGAAACCCTCATGGTTCCCAGTCAGTTCTTCAGCAGCACTTAGCCGTGATTCTATGGAACTGTTTTGGGCATGGGACCATGCCTGCACCTGGGCAAAAAATATGACTTCCATAAAATGACTGAACTCCTTATGTGACCTGGGTGATTTTTGGATATGTTGTTCATATGTTGATCAGGGTTATCAGGGAATGTAACATTTTTGGGGATAGTTATGGTACTTTATAAAAATGTGTGTTTTTCTACATACTGTACTTTACTCAATTATCTCCCATGCAAAGGGGATGGATTGTGTGCTGTGTGTGGGAGTGTTGTACATGTATTACTATTCTGATTTGGTTTGTAAGCTTTGTGTCCCTGTCCCACACAAGGTCCATATGGGCGTATACCTTGCTTGGGGACTTGCATAAAAGGCCAGCTGTGGCTTCCATTAAACCCTTAAGGACACAACTTCTGGAATAAAAGGGAATCATGACAGAATATTTCCCTCATGTGTCCTTAAGGGGTTAAACAGACTTATTTCACCCTCAATCTAGAGTCTTGTCTCTTATTGGGGAAAACTGCTATATCACTACATGGGATTGCTATAGCCATTATACTCCCTTGGATTCTCTGAGCGCTTGTAAGAGCTATTCCTGCTTGACTCTCTGGAGGAAGAGAGGTTCACCCACTGTAACCTGGAGCCTTATCATAGATCCAGGGTGACGGAGATGACGAGACCCCAACCAAGCTGCGGCGGTTGTGGGGTCTGCAGCGCTTATGGTGTCTGGAGGAGTGCTCATATTCCTCGGTGAGCACTAGGAGCATCCGTCGGCGGAGGTTACAATGCCTTTGTCTGATCCTTACAGGCACTTCACCTTTATTTTCTCAATTAGCTTAACACCATATTTTGGGCTATATCAACACAGCCCCGGACAGTACCACTAGGCAAGGCAGGGAAAAGGTAAAAAGAGAGAGAAATACTGGAAAGGGGTGATGGTGATACTGTCATAAGAAGAGGGTTACCCTTGGGTAGCATGGTTAGGAGATAATGAAACCGGGTGGTAGGTATATAGTTGGAACTGGGAAGGAAAGAAAGGTGACACAGGGATGGGGAGATGGTGACATTGTGTTGAGAAGAAAATTATTGTGGCTGGAAGTGGGAAGGATGTCTGTATAAAGATAATATCTAGACACTTCGGAATGTCTGGATGTTTTAAGTCTAAGTGGGAGTTTAGTATGGATGACTAAGATCAAAAAAGTGAGCCTTTGGATTAAGGGCTAAAAGAAGCCTTTGGGGGCTATTACATTTTGCTTTAGACATACACCCCAAGTATTATTGCAACCTAGCAATGCCACAGTTTCAACTGTTTTCAATTTAAATAACTTGTAATCAATTACACATAAATACATCCCAGCCAGAATTTCTCTATCCTCATTCACAGTACAGATAGTAATTTTAGGTTTTGTGTATATTACCAGTAATGCTATACATATGTAATAATATATGCATATGTAAATAAAGAATTAGGATTTTCAGGCAGCAAATTGTTCCTGCATTGAGTTGATCATGAAGCCAAAAACCATAGAGAAAGTGATGAGAACTAGTTAAAGTATAGAGCAGAAGTGTTCTCTGAAAAAGATGAAAAATTATACTCACCTTTCATCCATCGGCATCCTTGTCTCTGCCAATTTTGGCCAATCAAATACTTCTCCAAAAAGAAGCATTGTGGGCTATACTGCACATGCATGGCAATTACCACACAGCACCAAAAGGATCATCCCCATAGAGGACATTTACAATGCTTCTCTATGGGCAAGCAACTCCATTTGGCATTGTCACGATGTTGAAAATTAAGAATGTTACTTTTTTACAGTTTTCACTAGTAAGTGCTTTTAGTGGCTGTTTCACAAATGGCATTGCTTACTTTTGTAAGAGTTCAAGGATGGTGTTTAGAATATCCCTTTACTAAAGAAGGAATGCTGTGAAATTGAAAAACCGCACTAGACAAAACACACTTAATACAATAAATGTGCAGTTTGAGAGAGACTGGGCTGGTCCTTAACAGAGGCAACAATTAATGATGGGAAACTCACATCTACCCTATCATTTCAATCAAGGAGATATCTATTCACGTATTTGTTCATATAGATGCATAGCTAATTATAGGCGGCAGTGATTTAAAGTGGTCATGGTGCTTAGAGTTTGTATGTACAGCCTTTCAGTCAAATGCTGCATATACAGAATTAATCCACTTTGCTGCAGGATGTGAATCTCCACCTTCAGCAGCATCATTTGTCCACCTGGAACGAGACTGATAGCCTCCCAAGTCCACCACTCAACCTTTCCTCTGGGTTAGCACTCCCAAGGGGAAGGGGAATGGGAAGTGACACCACCATTGGGCTGAAGGAAGGATTGGGCTGAAGGAAGAACTTTGAGTGCAATCACAGGTAAGATTATTCTTTATGTTGTTTTTTTAAAGAGGGAGTGGGCATTCTAGTACAACTTACTACAACCAAAAATGGTGTTTATTTTTTATTCAAGGCATAGTTATTGCAGTGAATACAAGTATACATGAGATAGCACAAAGTAAAGTTATACGCGACAGATCTTTGCAAGTCAGAAAATTTCAAATCAACAGTACAGCCTTGTTATGACCTGCAGTGGTTATGGTACTGCGGTCTTCTATTTCTTCCCCAATAGCTGAGCATAAGTGATTATAACTGCAGTAGGAGGTAGAGGAATAGTGTAGATGAATGCAGCTTCCAAGATGATTCTCCCCAGCAAATAGAATATTCCCCAAACATGAGCCTAGACCTCATGAAGGGTGTAACAGGAATGAAGTTTATTGATGACACACTGGCTTTTATGAGAAATCCTCCTGGAAGAGGACCTCCCACAGTAAACAAAGACAATAACCAATCATCATACAGCTTTACAGTAACCCCCGCCCTCTCTCTGCCTGAGAGATCTTGAGATAAGTTAAGGAGTAACCCAATTATCTCCAGGCAGAGGGCACACCATTTTTCCAAAAGTTAGAACACACCTTTCCACACAAGGTATCCCCTGATCTAGGGGACCAACATATCCAAATTTCACCCAGATCGGTTCAGGGGTTCTTAAAAAGTATGGAAGTCACAAGTTACCGACCACACACGAGGCTCCTGCCCAAAACAGTTCCACTAATTCAGCGTGTGCGGTCGGTCAATTCAGAAAAAGGCATAAAACGAATAAAAGTCCTGAATGGATCATCCTGGCTCATAGGAGCGATTGCTCCCCTTGTCCAGATGAACAAAACTACCGAATGGCGCTCTCCTGGCTGTTCGGCAATTAAAGGAAGCAGGCGTTCAGTCGTTTCGGGAGGTCGATTGTCCTAATTTAGTTCCAGACACTCGACGACCAAGTCCTGCTGCCTCCTTTCGTGCAAACAAGATCGCCGCCATTTTCTGTTCCACATGGCATTCGGCTATACGAACAGCGGCTGCCCAGAGATCACTTAATAGATGGTTCTTTAATGAAGTTAATGAGCCAGGAGGGTGGTCGGTAGTTTAAACTACCGAACCAATAGATTCAACATGCACAAAATACTGCAGAAAAACCCTGAATATAGGAGAAAATACAGAACTAATTTTCTTCACAAGCCTCTTTTGCAGGTGAACATATAAAACAATAAAAATATCAAGTGACGAATCAACAAACAGCAGAAAACACATTTACAATACACGTGTGGTGTGTAACCAAAATGTAATCCGTGTAAGATAATATATGGGATTGTGCTAGTAACATGTCTGATAGATTAAGTATGGATAAAGATTAGATAATGGGAGTAAAAATGAAAATATAAAAGCTCATATTCTAAATAGTGGATTCATAGGGTAGAATATACAGTATAACATCTCGGAGACTGTGAATGAAGATTGTTTTAGAAACATAAAAACATAGAATGTGACGGTAGATAAGAACCATTCTGCCCATCTAGTCTGCCCAATTTTCTGAATACTTTCATTAGTACCTGGCTTTATCTTATAGCTAGGATAGCCTTATGCCCACCCCACACATGTTTAAACTCCTTCACTGTGTTAACCTCTACCACTTCAGCTGTAAGGCTATTCCATGCATCCACTACCCTCTAAGTACAGACATTAATACTTCCTGATATTATATTTAAACCTTTGCCCCTCTAATCTATGTATTCTTCTTGTGGTAGTTTTTATTCTTTTAAATATAGTCTCCTCCTTTACTGTGTTGATTCCCTTATGTATTTAAATGTTTCCATCATATCCCCCCTGTCTCGTCTTTCCTCCAAGCTATACATGTTAAGATCCTTTAACCTTTCCTTGTAAGTTTTGTCCTGCAATCCATGAACCAGTTTAGTAGCCCTTCTCTGAACTCTCTCTAAAGTATCAATATCCTTCTGGGGATATGGTCTCCAGTACTGCGCAAAATACTCCAAGTGAGGTCTCACCAGTGTTCTGTACAATGGCATGAGCACTTCCCTCTTTCTACTGCTAATACCTCTCCCTATACAACCAAGCATTCTGCTAGACTTTCCTGCTGCTCTATTACATTATCTGCCTACATTTAAGTCATCTGAAATAATTACCCCTAAATCCATTTCCTCAGATGTTGAGGTTAGGACTCTATCAAATATTCTGTACTCTGCCCTTTGGTTTTTAAGTCCAAGATGATTTATCTTGCACTTATCCACATTAAATGTCAGCTGCCATAACTCTGACCATTTTTCTAGTTTACTTAAATAATTTGCCATTTGGCTTATCCCTCCTGAAACATCAACCCTGCTACATATCTTAGTATCATCATCAAAAAGACATACCTTACCATCAAGACCTTTTACAATATCACTAATAAAAATATCAAAAAGAATGGGTCCAAGTACAGTTCCCTGAGGTACCCCACAGGTAACAAAACCATGCTTCGAATATACTCCATTGACTACTGTCAGGGATCTTACCTGCAGTGGGAGTCCGACACGCAGAGTTAAAGAACCCTTTGCAATTATACACAGGCCAAGGGGACTCAAGGTAGAAATCCCCAAGGCTGTGAACCAGTGCACTGAGGCTGATAACAACCAGTGCTTCCAGGAGCGAGGTACAGACAAGGGATATCCAAAAGCGTAGTCAGGGACTGAACCAAAGGTCAGGACAGGCAGCAGACAGGCAAGAGCGAAGGACAAGCAGAGGATCCATAACCAACAGGAACAAAACGATCTGACAAGGATCAATAGCCAAGGCAGAGTTTATATAGGCTGAAATTAGCAGACATCAGGAACAGGTGAGTAAAGTCCAGGCATACAGGTTCAGGCTACTAGATACCAGGAACAAGCAGAAGTAGCCAAAGATACGTGGAGCCAAGGATAAGGTTGGGATGCAGGAGACTCAGGTTTGAACCCAGCCAGGACCCCATACACAATAAATGTGGAAGGCACGATGACAGTCATGACAACTACAACCCTCTGTTGCCTGTCACTCAGCCACTGCCTTACCCATTCAACAATATTGGAATCCAAACTTCAAGATTGCAGTTTATTTATAAGCCTTTGATGTGCAACAGTGTCAAAAGCCTTACTGAAATAGTGGCATGCAATGTCTACTGCACCCCCCTGATCTATTATCTTAGTTACCCAATCAACCCAAAAATCTATGAGATTAGTTTGGCATGATCTCCCTGAAGTAAACCCATGTTGTCTCTGATCTTGAAATCCATGTGATTTTAGATGTTCAACAATCCTATCCTTTAACATATTTTCCCCACTACTGAAGTAAGGCTTACTGGCCTATAGTTGCCCGACTCCTCCCTACTACTTTTTTTGTGAATGGGCACAACATTCGCTAACTTCCAGTCTTCTGGGACTACTGTTGTTAACAATGATTAGTTAAATAAATCTGTTAATGGTTTTGCTAGTACACCACTAAGCTCTTTTAATAACTTTGTGTGTATTCCATCAGGCCCCATTGACATATTTGTCTTTACTTTTTACAGTTGAACTAGAACCTCTTCCTCTGAACTCTCATGTAACAAATGACTCATTTGTCATTTTTCCTAATTTTCATCTGTAAATACTGAACAAAAATATTAATTGAGGCAGTCAGCTAGACCTTTATCCTTTTCTACATACCTTCCTTCTTTTGTTTTTAATCTAACTAATCCTTGTTTTACTTTCCTTTTCTCATTTATGTATCTAAAAAATGTTTTGTCCCCTTTTTTACTAACTGTGCTATTTTCTCTTTTGTGTGTGATTTGGAAGCTCTTATAACTTGCTTAGCCTCTTTTTGCCTAATCCTATAGATCTGTCTATATTCCTCACTTTGGGCTTTTTGTAATTACTAAATCCAAACTTTTAGTTTTTTACTATTTTGCCCTCATCTGCGGAGTACCACAGTGGTTTCTTAAAATTTTTGCTTTTACTGGCAAGCCTAAAGCAATTTTCTGTTGCTTTCAGCAGTGCAACTTTTAAATATTCCCATTTCTCTTGGACTCCATTTAAACTGCTCCAGTCTGATAATGACTCCTTTACACATATTCTAGTTTTAGAAAAGTCTTTTTTTCTAAAGTCTAAAACTTTAGTTTTTGTGTGGTGTGTTCTTATATTAAACCACACTGACTGATGATCACTGGATCCTAAACTTTCAACTACAGTAATATCTGATACCAAATCTCCATTTGTTAACACTAAATATAATACGGCCTCTTTATGACTTGGCTCCTTAACGACTTGTTTTAGACACAATCCAAGTAGGGAGTTTAGAATATGTGTGCTCCTGGCACAAGCAGCTTTTTTGGTTTTCCAGTTCACATCAGGAAGATTAAAGTCACCCATGATGATAACTTCCCCCTTTCATTGTCATTTTAGCTATTTCCTCAATTAGTAGATTATCTAACTCTTCTATTTGTCCTGGGGGGCTAAAAATCACACCTACACGAGTTAATGTGTGATATACCAAATTCTAACATAACCCAAACAGACACTATGTTCACCTCACTAACTTTTATTAGGCTAGATTTTATGCTATCCTTCACATACAGGCCACCCATCCCCCTTTCTTGCCTTCCCTGTCTTTTCTATATAAGGAGTATCCTGGTATTGAAATGTCCCATTGTGATAATTGTGATAAAATCCAATTAACTAATTAAGAATGATTGATTGATCACTAATGAGCAAATTAATCTATCATAGATAGTTAAGATGGCACTTGGCTTAAACTGTGTCGCACTAAGAAATTCAACTTGTGTCGCACTAAGGAAATTCAGCTTGTGTCGCACTAAGAAATTCAGCTATGATGACATTGCATAAAATGCTTAAACTGTGTCGCACTAAGAAATTCAACATTGCCTGGAATATTCCATAGCATGTCTGGCCAATATCCAAAAAGGCCCACGTGCTGAACAGAGGGAATTGGTGCCAACAAATGTATGGAGAGATAAGAGTAGGGACATAGATAGACTAAGATACCGCACGTATCTGGCATGAGCCTTGGGTGGTCACGACTGGCCTGATCAACCATACTGATGACCTAATGCGCATGACAAGATACATGCTGGGCTGCACTGATAAGAAATCTTGGAAAAGTTACAAACTTGCTAAAAGGTATAAAAGATGGAGAAACTTGGCACTCACTTGGAGAACTACCCACCTGTAATGCGGACGCGTGTTGCTGGTCTCTGCTGTTCCCAGAGAGGGTCCCTCCATGCCGACTGCCAGAGTTCCCCCAGTCATGTGCAGTGAGGACACAACGAAACCCCTCTAATGGTGATGTATACTTAAGCTGATATATCTAGATACTAAGCTGTTTTGAAGTGAATGCATGCAACTACTTAATGAGAGTTAAGCTTACTCTGTATTGGGTCCCCTTGTGGACAATAAATTGTGGTGTGAATTCTTATCTGCAACTTGGTCTCTGTGTGGTTTCTTTTTCCTATAGCCCAAGACACTCATCTCGAACTGGGTTGTGTGCCCGCCAATATCGCTATAAACCTTATTAGGTAATTGATTATTGCTTTTTGGATATTGGTGCTTCATGAATTTAATGATTAGGCACAACATTTTGGCGACGAGGATGGGATGAGTGTTAATTGAGCAAGGAAAATTGAAATCAATAATTTGAAATAGTTTTAAAAGAGTTGTTAAGCATAGTTAAAACAAGGAAATTGTGTTTAGAATTCGTTAGAACTGTTTATGTGAGATAAGAAAATTGTGGTTAGAGATTGTTAGAACTGCCTAGACAAATTGTGCGCACAGTAAAAGTGAAACTAACATCGTACTAGGTCTAATTTCTGCTGCATCACGGAGGAAAAAAGTCATTCGCAAGCTGTCAGTTTCTTCCGTGCGCTGCAGCAAAGTATGCTATAGAGATTCTAAGCTTAGAAAACAAACACTACGGTTTCTACAGGTTCTTTGAACATTGTGTAAACTTGAAAATGTTTGCATGACGTTGCAAGAGCAAGATTGGTGAGTGAATGCTCGATCTAACAAGATTGAGGAGTGCTTCTGAAGATTGATTGAAGAATACAAGTTGTGCTCAGTTGGTAGACGCCCCTATACATCTCAAAGGTGTGTAGAACGCCAGTGCCTTCTGGGGAGCGTTACCCTCAAACAGGCTAGCGTCCTGGATGAGGCTGAATTGCTGCTAATTTAATAAGCTCAATACCAGGTATTGGGATAAGATCACCAAAACCACAAGATTGTTTGGGGTGATTCTGACACGAATGAGTGATTGTGCTTGGCCAGTTAACAAGTGCCCCTACGCACCGTAACGGGTGCTGGAAGCCAGTGCTGACTGAGGAAGTGAAGGAAACGGCTGTTCCTGAAAGTGTGAGATTGTTGGCTCGATCATAGCTGTCCCTATACACTCCACGGAGTGTGTAGGGCGTCAGTGTGTTCGGAGAGCGCAAGCCCGCAGCCAGAATAGTTATCTGGGCAGGCTTGAGTGAAAGTTTTTTCCCTGAAATAACCGCAGGAACTTTGCACAATGGTTAAAAAGAATAAGAAACAGGGTGATGACGCCATCATTCCTGGATGGGAAGATGAGCAGCCATATGCAGTGATTGCCAGGGAATGGGCCCGTTCAGCTGGCAAATGTAACGATGAATGTGAAAAAAGCGAAATTGACATGCCTACTGACCTTCTAGCTTGCTTGTCAAAGATTCCAAAAGATAAGTGGCAGAAAAGAAGTTGGATTATACTTACTGCCAATAGACATGTACCAGGGATGGTACAGGGTCAAATAAAAAGAGGAAAAGCCCCAAGGCAAATATGGCAGGTGGATTACATAGGTCCACTTCCTATGAGTAAAAATTGTCAATATGTATGCACGGCTGTGGATACATATTCAGGGTATTTATTGGTCCACCCTTGCAAGAGGGCTACCCAAATAAATACTATTAAAATGCTGGAAACCATAATACAATACTATGGTCTTCCATTACAAATTCAGAGTGATAATGGAAGTCACTTTAAAGGAAAACTGGTACAAGACTTCTGTGATGAAAACAATATTGAATGGATATTTCATATACCCTACTATCCTCAAGCAGCTGGTCTGATTGAAAGAATGAATGGGTTATTGAAACAACAACTGAGAAAACTTGGTGAAGGGACCATGCACAAATGGAGAGATAACTTGCCTACAGCTGTAAACATCTTGAACAATAGGCCACTCTCAGACCATGACACTCCCCTCACTAGAATGATTGCACCCAATATACAAGCCAAACCTTATGTGACAAGCAACACTATCACATATTGGGAAATAGAAGAGGGAGCTCTGGCACCATACAGGGCTACCCCAGAGGCCGCAGGAATAGACTTGCGAGCCAGAAAGGAAGAAAGACTTCAAATAGGGCAAGTTCAGATGTTCCCCACAGGTATAGGAATACAGATACCCCTGGGACACTTTGGACTAATTGCACCTAGGTCTAGCCTCGCCCTTAAAGGGATACACGTAATGGGAGGGGTTATAGACGCAGATTACCAAGGAGAAATAAAGGTCGTTCTGTTAAATCAGGGACCACAAGACTTGCTAGTGCAAGAAGGGGACAGAATAGCCCAATTGGTTATCATCCCCATTTACCAGGGACAGGTACATAAAGGAACGGCCCCCACCTTACAAACAGTAAGAGGAGATAAGGGATTTGGCTCTACTAACCTAAATCCAGGGGCCAAAGTCTGGGTGAGGACTGAGAAAGGTCCCCCAGAACCAGCAGACATTATTGCAACAGGCAATGACAACACTGTGATACTCTCCAGGTCAGGACAAGATAAATGGGAATACGTGCCTTCGGCCAAATGTTATTTGAGAGAGTAAGATGAGTTGTATCTTTACAGGCAAAGCTCATTGGTCCGGCTGTTATTGTGATGACTGCGCTTACTCTACACCCTTTGGTCGGTTCAGATACCAGCAACGAGATTGGAGGTTGGGACCAGAGTGATTCCGCAGAAATGAAGTGGAAAGAGATCGAGATACGAGTAACCTGCCTGACTAATGACTGTCCAAACATAAGGGCAAGCCTGTATGGAGAAGGCTATTTTAGCCACAATGACACTGAGGCGATGAACTATATTAAGCTGCCGCATGAATCATTTGATATGTTGACGCTAGAATCTGCAACACCTTTTGGCTGCCGCATACTATTTACACATATTGACTCTAATATTACTTTAGAAGAACTTACCCAATATTGGGTAGGTTATGCAAATCAGCAAAGCACAAAGCGAACATACACTATTGTAGAGAATAGTGGTGCAACCTACTGTTGCACTAACAGCACCCCTGATACCTTATGGTATTTACTTTTAAAAATTCAAAGGACATCCATGACGACTTGTTCTGACACCCCTAAATCAGACAGACACCTCTTGCCTTGGGAAGAACACAATCACTTTATTAAGGCAGCAGCTAATGTATATAAGAGCTTAGATTTATGTAAGCCATGTTGGGTGTGTGGCCATACGCCACATGCTCATGACAGAGGGTACCCCTATTTCCCTAAAGTATTAACGAAAAAAGACTTGTTGTACATCATTAGACATAATGTTGGTTTTTACTTTCTAATAGGCAATGACACAAGTGAGGTCCCCAAGATCTTCTTAAGTGAAGATACTGGGGACAGACCAGGTGCAGTTAAGCTACGCATGGGGGAATGGGAATACCCTGACGACTTAGAAGAAGTAGTGACTATCAATGTTTATCAAAAATATTACACTAACCGTAACTACCAACCGAACATCCGACCTAGCAGTTATGTAACTACCATGGCATTATCCCCTTTTTACACAGGATGGAGTTTTGACTATTTTAATGGGACAGAAAATGGTGAGAAAAGAACCGAGGGCAGATGGAAGTATGTCCTAGGAGAAGGCGAGGCAGAGACTATAAGTCGATGGTGGCATAAAATAGTAGGTACAGGAGTGTTTAGTACTTATTTCAAATTTAAACATTCTAATGTAAGCTGTATAAATCACCCCATTCCTTCAAGAGGATTTTATTGGCTTTGTGGGAGATGGGCTTATAAAAAACTCCCATGTAAAATGAAAATTGATTGTACCTTGGGAATGGTGATGCCCGCCATTTACCCTACTAAAACTTTACCTGAAAACACCCATCATCATTGACAAAAGTGAGACACTGATTTATCAGGATTTAAAATGGACAGAAACATGCAGTTTTGGGTCTCTCTCTTTCCAATGGTGGGGGTGGGAATGATGATAACTAATTTAAATCTTTTAATTGATACTATTGACAATGCCTTTAATAGCACAGGACTTGCTATCAGTTTGCTTAATTATGAGCAAGAACAGATTAGACAGGTAGCTTTGCAAAACAGAACAGCCTTAGATTACTTGCTTGCAGCAGAAGGAGGAGTATGCAAAAGAATAGGAGGCAAGGCATGTTGTGTGTGGATAGAAGATAAATCAGGGAAAGTTAAGCATGAGCTTCAGCATTTAGAAGAGATACAAAAACGCTTTAGGAAACCACTAACCACAGATGACTTGGAACACTGGCTAGCTAATACTACACGAGACTTTGACTGGACATTTGGTATAGGATCATGGATAGGAGGACTTGGGATGAAAATATTAAAGGGAATTGTGTGGTGTGTTTTTATTATACTTTGTATTTACCTATGCTACAAACTTACCATTTGCTGCATTCAAAGAGTGGCTACATGTAAAACAAATGCCAGGATAGACTTAGAAGAGTGACAAATGTTTTTATAGATAGACAAGATGCCCTTAAGATTAGAGATAAGCGGGAAGAGGCATGTCCTACGGGTGACCCTCGACTCGAAGAACTTTATTGCATGAATTGGTTCCAGGTGTGAATGGGACAATATGGGGATCAGTGGGAAAATGGGCTTGCCCCCTGCTGATAACCTGAATGGCACGTGTAAATGTGTAAGGTTTTGCTCACTTAGTGATCAAGGGATGGAATGTGATAATTGTGATAAAATCCAATTAACTAATTAAGAATGATTGATTGATCACTAATGAGCAAATTAATCTATCATAGATAGTTAAGATGGCACTTGGCTTAAACTGTGTCGCACTAAGAAATTCAACTTGTGTCGCACTAAGAAATTCAGCTTGTGTCGCACTAAGAAATTCAGCTATGATGACATTGCATAAAATGCTTAAACTGTGTCGCACTAAGAAATTCAACATTGCCTGGAATATTCCATAGCATGTCTGGCCAATATCCAAAAAGGCCCACGTGCTGAACAGAGGGAATTGGTGCCAACAAATGTATGGAGAGATAAGAGTAGGGACATAGATAGAATAAGATACCGCACGTATCTGGCATGAGCCTTGGGTGGTCACGACTGGCCTGATCATCCATACTGATGACCTAATGCGCATGACAAGATACATGCTGGGCTGCACTGATAAGAAATCTTGGAAAAGTTACAAACTTGCTAAAAGGTATAAAAGACAGAGAAACTTGGCACTCACTTGGAGAACTACCCACCTGTAATGCGGACGCGTGTTGCTGGTCTCTGCTGTTCCCAGAGAGGGTCCCTCCATGCCAACTGCCAGAGTTCCCCCAGTCATGTGCAGTGAGGACACAACGAAACCCCTCTAATGGTGATGTATACTTAAGCTGATATATCTAGATACTAAGCTGTTTTGAAGTGAATGCATGCAACTACTTAATGAGAGTTAAGCTTACTCTGTATTGGGCCCCCTTGTGGACAATAAATTGTGGTGTGAATTCTTATCTGCAACTTGGTCTCTGTGTGGTTTCTTTTTCCTATAGCCCAAGACACTCATCTCGAACTGGGTTGTGTGCCCGCCAATATCGCTATAAACCTTATTAGGTAATTGATTATTGCTTTTTGGATATTGGTGCTTCATGAATTTAATGATTAGGCACAACACCCATTCATTTTTCTCATTATACCATGTCTCAGTAACAGCGACTAAATCTACATTATCAGTTGCCTTTATTGCCACAAGTTCATGGAGCTTATTCCCTAAACTGCGAGCATTTGTAGACATGACTCTAAGCTTATCATTTTTTAACACACTTGCTACAAGCACCATCAGTCCTTATTTTGGGGGGCAATTGGATTGATGTTTTATTACCCTTTTGCCACCCCCCCTCCTAGTGTAAATACATCCTAACAAAACCTCTGAGCTGCTTACTGAGAATATTTGTTCCCTTTTGAGAAAGATGCAAACCATCCTTTGTGTACAGTTTATTTCCATTTCAAACAGAGCTACCATGAGAAATGAAGCCAAATCCTTGCTCCTGAGTCACAAGTTAAAGTCCCTAATACACATCCGTCTGTCGTTCTGAGTGTTATGCACAGGCAGAACTTCAGAGAATGACAATGTGGAAGCAACCTGCCGTATATCATTGGCAAAAACACAAACAACTTCCTTTACCTCTGAAACCTCATTGCAAGCCAAGTCATTTGTCCCTATATGGACAAGAACATCCAATTCCCATTCCTGCTTTGCTCACTTAACAATATCACAAATACGTCTCTGTGAGCAGTAGCTCTAGGAAGACATCTCACAAGACCACTGTTGTCCAGCTCCACACCTCTTATGATAAAATCCGCCACCAACAACTGCTTTCTATAAGGCTTCACCATAGTCTCCAAGCCTGTCTCCATAATACCACAACACTCTGTGCCCGAGCCTGTCTCCACAAAACCACTACACTCTGTGCCTGAGCCTGTCTCCACAACACCACTAGACCCTGTATTAAAATGCTAAAATTATATATAAACATCAACTCTACACACAAAAGTAAACCTGCATTTAAAAGCCAAGACTACAGATAATCACACACCCCTGCTTTCAAACGCACCTGCATTTAAAACCAAACACTACACACAAGTACACCACTGCATTCCAATGGTAACAGTGCATACAATACACCCCTACATGCACACATACACTCTATACAAAAACATGCTTACATTCAAATGCAAAAAACCTGCTCACAAATACATCCCTGCAAGGATGGTAGACAGATGGGGATCTATTTTTTCTTTACTCTTGCGCTACAGGGGAGGAATAAAAAAATTTCTTGCACGAGGGCACTCTCGACATTAGTTCTGCTGCTGAGTTGGTGTGGAGGGAGTGATTGCATGCCCGGGGGGGGGAGGGGATGCAGGATCAAGGGGGTCCAAGCAAATGCTTGCCCACGGTAATAAAGATGGCCTTGGTTGTGATCCTAACGCTCTATTTTGGTCTCGTCACTCTAAATTACAGAGTGCTAGAAGCTGAGAGGCGTGTCAAGGTGTTGTCAGGCATATTGTAACCAGGCTTTCTTGTGGCATTGGTGCAGTAAAGGCTTCTTTCTGGCAACTCAACCATGCAGCTAATTTTTGTTCAAGTATTGTCGTTTTGTGCTCCTTGAAAAAACCACACTGTCTTTTTCTAGAGCAGCTTGTATTTCTCCTGATGTTACCTGTTGGTTTTATTTTGTATCCCAAGCAATTCTTCTGGCAGTTGTGGCTGAAATCTTTCTTGATCTACCTAAACTTGGCTTGGTATCAAGAGAACAGTACTGCCTGGCATTTTTAAGGCTTTGGATATATTTTTAGATCCTTTTGCATCTTTATAAAGTTCCATTATCTTGTTACGTAGGTCTTTTGACAGTTCTTTTCTGCATCCCATGGCTCAGTATTTAGCATGCTGAGTGCGTCCATGTGAGAGCTAACAAACTAATTTACTATTTATACACAGACACTAAATGCAATTTAAAAAGCCAAAGGTGTGGGGAATTAACCTTTAATTGCCATTTTAACCTGTGTGTGTCACCTTTACAACAAAGACAAACTTTCAAGGGTATGCAAACTTTTGATCAGGGCCATTTGAGTGATTTCTGTTGTTATTATGATTTAAAAAGGATCCAAACAACTATGTGTTAATAAATGGCTTCATATTATCACTATCCTTCAATAAAATAATGGTGGTTTTTTTGCATGATCAGTCATACTTTAAAAATCAATGCCAACATTTCACAATTTCTGCCATAGTATGCACACTTTTTAGCACAACTGTGTAAATACTTTTTTTTGGTCTAAATTTTTAGGAAAAATTATGTGAATACAGGCAGCTGAGATGTAAATCTGTCCCTGCTCCATCCACAATAATCCCAGCCTATGGCCATTTCGGATCAGGACTCTACAATAAGATATGTTTCTACTTGTCCTTAGATGTCATGTAGTATATTTAGCATCACCAATACCTGAGAAGATAGGCAGCTATGTGTGGATTCTCAATAAATAAGAAAGAAGATCTCTGAACATTGAGGCTTCTCACTGGTTTTACATAGCATTCACTTGTGTGGAACACAAAAATAGCATCTTTTCTTTTGACAAATAACATATGTATCCCTATGTGTTCATATGAAATTCATTAGCCAGTTTCATTCTGCTGGTGATTTCATGCAAGACTGACTTTGCTCAAACTGAAAAAGTTGGTGTGCTCTTAATTCAATTTCAAGTAATTGGATCTGGCAGCTAATTTCAAGTAATTGATTACTGCCATTAGTCAATTGAAATCATTCTTTGGATCTACACTCGTTTGTATTTTAAAATAGATATCTATACAGTATTTGCAATGTTGTATGTTTTTTCTTCACTTCATGTGAGCATATTCTTATTTTTTTATTTTTCAAATAAGATGGACCAATTCTTCCCCAACTTTTTAAATGTAGCATTGGGGATATCACATCGTCCGATCACAGTCCAATATTTATTGATCTTTATTATTCCTTTCAGTTTAAAGGTAAAGGGAAGTGGCAATTAAACAAATCTTTGCAGATAGATGAAGCCTTTGCTACCACTATTCACCGAGAACTTGAAGAGTATTTTAAGTTAAACGATTTAGATCATATAAATGTTAATACATTGTGGT